ATCCAAAAATATTTTTATTTTGATTACATTAAATTATTTTAATTAATTAAAGCGAGCCTTATCCAAAAATGACCATTTTTTATGTTTCCAATTAAGAGTTGATTCGATCCTTAAAAATTGTATATGATGTTACAGGATCTTTTATTTTATTCTCTAAATGGTCATATTTGGATTAATTTTATCCCTTAATTTTTGGATGGTTTACGTGGTTTTAGGGTTTCTGAAACTCTATAAATAATAGAGGCCTCCAACACACTGTTTAATCATCTGAAAATCTTTTCTTTCTTCCTTCTCTGAGTTCTCATTTTGTCGCTTGCTAGCTTTGCTTCTCAGATCCTTGAGACGACCCTGTTATATCTTGGGGGGCTTGTGCATATCTCGCGGATATGTCCTTAAGGTTAGTGTCATCACACGCCTCAAGGAGATTTAACTAACGTCTTTGTTAAGTGTTTCAGGTTACCGATCAGTGCGTTCACCATATTTACAACAACAATATCTTATTATATCCATTGTTTGTGTTTGACTAGTCGATTTGCATTCTTGCAATATGAGCCTTTCTTTTGTGTTGTTTTCTTGTGGTTGTTGTTGATGATCATCAACATGGTTCTTGGGATGTTAGTAATGAGGCCTAGTCCTCGATGTTGGATTTTGCTATGATAAGGTATGTGACATCGATGATTAGTTATGACTAGTAAGGATTTGATTCATGTTATTTAATTTAAGTAGTTTGATTTTAATTCCTTTGTAATTGGATTATTTTCATCAAGTTTAGTTTATGTTAACCATGTGATTTTCTTTACTTGTATGAATTTTAAGCTTATTATTTCACATGAGATATTTTAGTTTGATATTATTTGTGTTATAATATGCAGGATAATAGGTATCACAGTCGTGTTTTTAAATCTTCAAACATTTTCTGAAGTTTCGCGAAGGTGGTAGAATTGGTTAAGTCCCTTTATTTTTATTAAGTAAGACTTGAGATTATATTGATTTGTCTCATATTTTATATCCTTCTATACGAACTTGCGCTGACGAAGAGGTAAGTGATCCATAATCCCATTAAATTTATTTTGAAAAAATTGATGGTTGATTCTAATTTTACATAAATCGTGCTTTACCCTAATTTAAAATTTTCTTTAAAAAAGAATCACTCTTTGAAATGAACAGCTTATTGCTTGCGGATTATATAAGTTCAGGTTGTTCATTAGAGAGAAATTATATTGTTGTTTTCTTTGTTATATTTTACTACATCTTTTTTATTATGAAAGAAAAGTGTAAATAACAGCATTCAAACATAAAATATCTTTAGGACAAACAGTAGGTGCGTACTGATTTTGGATTTTATTATATTGTTACATTTTTTCTATAGAATTTAATGTAGGGTGATAGAGATGGTCAAAAAGCATATCGAGCTCGTGGTTGAAAAACTATACTAGTTAGAACGTATAGTCTACATGCTGATGAATGTATTTGTCTCTTTTTTGTTTAAATATCTTCAATGTGTTGAGTTTCAAATTTGGTGATCTTTTTTTTTTTTTTTTTCTAACAAGGCAGTGGCCGTAATGTTTTGCTTAGTTTCAATGTGACGTATTCCAAATATATAGTTTCGAATATATTTTCTTTTACTCAATGGCGAAATTCAACAACCCCCACCATGTTGTTATATCCTTCTTCTGCATGGTTTTCTTTTGCCTTTTTCTTCATATTTTGCTTCTTTTATGCATGATTTTTTATACACATGCTCATACTATTTATATGGGATTTGCTATTAAGAAAATCTATAAAATAAAAGGAAATATGTAAAGAAGTTAAATGTGTAATTTTTTTTAACTATTTTATTAATATGAAATATTCATTAGTTTTCTGCAAATCACATTTTTTATTTTTATCGACAAAATTTAATTCTAAAATATTATTTAAGAAAATTGAATTCAATACAATTAAAATTAACAATTTTCTAGTATTTAATAAATGTTGGTCTTTGCACCATTCGATGTTAGTTTTTTAACAATTTTTTTTCATACACAAAGAATATTTTTGTGAGAGATAAAAATTTATAATTACATTTTTATGAGAATCTAGCCTCTGTTTTTGTCTGCACCGAAAAGAAAACTTTGATTTAACTCAACATTGAATGAATATTATTTTTTCTCACTACTTAATTAAAAGTTTAATTAATAAGCTACCTTACTACTACAGTGTATTTAATTAAGAAATAAGAGTTTATGTTGTATTAAGAAAGGACGATGTCGTCATGCTTTTTTGTTATTAGACCAATTGCATTGTTTTAAGTTCAAAAGGTTGACCCAAAACTATATAGGATTAATTTTACTTTTTATTCTTTTATTATCGTTATTTGTTACACTTAATCTCTTAAAAAAAATTGAGTTTAGTTCTGTCAATTTTTTCAATTGTGCATTTTTTATTCATCCATTAACTTAACATTTAATATTTTACACATGTTAATATTTTACTACATATCCTTATCAATACCCTATTGTTACGTTAGTATATTTTTATTATATATTACTGTCAAATTAATAGATAAATTAAAATTATACAATTAAAATAATGGAGAAACTAAGGTTGTAATTGTTTAAACTTTTTATTAAAAAATATTTTTTTAAAAAAATAACAAATTTACAATTTTTTTTATGTTTGTCTAAATCGTTTTATAAAAAATAATTTCTATTTTTTAAGAAGTAAACTCTATGCTTCTTTTCCTCTCAAAAAAAAAATCTATGCTTCTTAAATTTTTTTATGAAAATCATTTTCTAATTTTAAACACACCAACCCTAAATTTAGGAGGAGAGAGCAACGAGGAGATCGAAATAAAAATTGATTATAGGAAGGAAACCAAAACTGTAAATAAGTCAATATATAAAAAAATAATTATTTAGCAATTTTATTATAATAATTTTGAATTTTTTATTTAATTTTACCTTTATTATTTAATAAAAGTTGACATATAGTTTTTAATAATATTATTAATATTTTAAAAAAAAATTAAAGATGGTTATGACCTTTTTTACATGGACAAAACTAATTAGGTTTTGGTTTTTTTCTTCTTGCTTTGTAATTAACATGATCTAACTTGATTGATCGAACAATGTATGAGAATTAATTGTTGTAAAATAAAAACATTATCCTGACCTTGTTTCCATAATTATCATTACCCATTATTTTGTGGGTTTATTAGGATTAACTTCAATTTTGATTAAATAATAACAATTAATAAAAGTAATTAAGAAACTTTATTCAAGTTTTATCCGTGTGTATATATATATATATATATAT